CGAGTTGTAAAATAGATGACTTGAGAAGTGGTATAATATAATATTATGTGGTCTAAAATATTGTGTAGTTTGTATAAATTATAATATTATCTTGCCCGTGGAGGTTTCAATGTTGTATAAGCGTATGTAGGTACCAAAATAGGTGCCGCTTCAACGAAAGTTATCGATGATATATCGCGAGTATCTTTTACTGCCGCTATACGTTGAAAATATTTATTTTTTAATTCGGACTTGAATAATACGTTTTACGATTATTATTGTGATTGGACAGCGAATTTTCTAGTTGAGTTTTTACAGTACCTAAATGCATTAATAGCTGTCAAATTAAAAAAGAAACATTTGTATACGTCGTCCGGATTAAAGCGATCATAAACAGTAAATAATAATTTCACTTCTGTGTTGCCACACACAGCATTAGGAACAAGAACTCTTTAACGAAAAAATATACACTTATTTATTATTCATGAATTGTATAAAAATGTAATACTATTACTGAAAAACCTAAACGTTTCGCCAAGAACTATAAAAAATGTGTTATGTTCGTTAACACTCAAACTGTGTGTATTTATTTTATAGTAAATATAAACTATTTAATATAACTCGTGTGGACTTAAATCATATTAACTGATTGAACATACTCGTACGTAATAAGTAGGTACGCATCATGATTCATGATGTGTTATATTATGCATTCTTCAAATTGTTTTAATTTATCATAGAATTTATTTTTAGTTAGACATTTTAAAATATTAATATACTTAGTACTTACTAATATAAAAGTATTTAAATCTAATGATTATAATTTCGATCTCAACATATTTAGAAGCTTATAATTATTAATAGATGTTTTTATCATATTGTTAAGAGTTGTTATGACTTATAATAAAAATGTATAGGTTCCTACTAATCAATTCAGTTACGGCATGAAATATTAAAATTTTTAATTACAAATAAGACTATTATAATTTTGTTCTTGCTAAATTACTTTAATAGTCTCAGTAAAATATTGCATCTCCAACTTTCACTTTTATTTATTATCTGCACTATTATCTACATAATATAATTTATCTGCAGACAAACTCATTCATTCATCTATTACTATCACGCGAAACAACCAAAACCATTTTTAGTGTATTTCTTTAAACAAATACGTATTTTGTCTTATATAGGTCTATTTCAATGATTATTTTTACCTCCTCAGTGGTTAGTGTAATATTTTTTTGAGGTGTTTACGGATTTGGATGGTGGATAACCTCCCAAACCCAGAAATATTTCCACTATTTTTGACTTGAGAGTTTTATGTCTTTATGATTTAATAGTTAGCATGATTGAATCGCTACCCAGACAGCAAATGTTTGACTAAAAATATTACTGCAGAAAGGGGATAGGTCCATTTTTTCTAACTTTTCAGGAGAGACAAAAAACGGAAAATCATAGCATGTCCCTTTTCTGTAGTAAACTGAAATTTCCAAACACTATATTTAGCGTTAGGATAGTCGGATTTGACTCCTTTCTGCAGTAAACGATGTATTTACGAGTGCTTAATAAAAAATGATAACAAAATCGAAATTAATAAAAATAAACTTGTCCCCTGTCTGATTCAATTACCTATATATAATCATGTATTCTTTCGTAAATTGTTATACACTGAAATCTACATTATATGTTATAGAGTATAGACTCTAGCTTACTTTTCTTTTGACCGATGTCAAATACATAATAATATAGATGGCTAGTAAAATACTAATACTTCAGTTATAGTGATATATCTAAATACTTGTACTTATATTGATATATTTTAATACCTATAGAATAATAATTTTAAACAATTTGAAGTAATTATATCAGTCTTGCGAGACAAGCATCTGTTCGAGATGGTGATCTGCTTATGTAAATACGAAACATCAAACCAGTAACATTTAAATGCATCAAACTATGTATATTATATTATTATGTATATTAAAATGTTCAAATCACATAATATGTACCTACCTACTTTTAGTTATACGGTTGTACGATGTGTTGAATTTTACCGAGTTATATACATATAATTGTTTTCCAGTGTTCACTTCAAAAACTCATACCTAAGACTTATATTCTATAAAATCGTTAAAATATTCTCAATTATTTTAACGTAGTATATGTAAATTATGTTTTGATATTTTAACAGTTTGTTGTGGCTTACATAATTGGTTCATGCGTAAGCATTTTTTTCTTTTATCGTTAACACTTATGCACAGTGCAATAGGCGTTTTAGGTGCAATACCTATAACGCCTCCTCTTTCCTCCGACCTTGAAATCGCGTACATTGCTCGGAAAACATGTTGCCTACGCGAATCACACACTTCCACTGCAAAGTGTGTGTTGTACGATAACATGTAACCTGCACCTGTAAATGATCTAGACGTTTATTCTTTAAAAAAAAATTAAATATAATATATCGGCTATGAGTTTTAAAAATGTGAGAATTGTGCGCTGTTAACAAGACGTGTTCTTTAGCGGGTACCTACGCCTGTAAAAAAAAATAAGCTTGTCCTGAGTGTAAGTTTATTGTGGTTGTGATAGTTGGCGTGTTATCTGAACTCTGAAGGACACTGCAGGTATATTATGATGCATATTGTATTATAATACCTATGGACATATTATCTACACATCTGTGCGACTTTTCAGTGACTGTACATCGCGTCTCGTGAGTTGCGGTGACTTACTTAGCTAAAGAATGTAGAAGGAAATATATAATAATATATGCTTTTAAAATATTAATGCATTTTTATTTGAAACGGATTTTGTAAATATAATTGTAATGGTGTTAGCTGGAACGTGGTTCTGAGGTTTCAGTGTAATGTATTTGGATCACGTGCCGGTTTTGGTATGTCATCAGAATTTAATAAATATTACATTTCATTAATATTTTAGTTTCAGATCAGTGATATCGTGCAATTGGGTCACATAAAATAAAATAAATAATATAACTATTGCCAACGCGTTTGTTTCAGCCGTTAACAATAACATTACAATAATTCCTTTTCGTTATAAAATATAAGGTATAATAATAATATGCGGATACTTAATTATTATCATTTAAAATTATTCGCGCAGTAAACGTCCACCGCCGCCTTAACGTGATGCAGGCGGTGACGAAACCTATTATACGTCATATTATTATTATTAAAGTGGTCTGGTCTCCGAGCTGAAAATATAACCGTCGAGATTTAAAACAATACTGATTTCAAAGATTATTATTATTATTATCATCATCGTCGTTATTATACAACCTACGACGACGGCGGCGGCTGTATTATTTCGACGGTATAGTTACGTCACGCCTTACCCTACAGAAGATTGGCGTTTTACTTCATTTCTTCAGCTTTTGTTCCACAAACAGTTCGCGCACAATGGAATACTTACGCTCTGCGTGCCTGCATATTATTCACTTATACCTATATACCTATACCTGGGTACATGACGCGAAAACTTGCACACGTTCAGTGGGCGACGGAAATAATATCGTAAAAGGTCAGTAGGTCTCCTCCGGTGTGCGCATTATCATACGCAGTACGACACTCCATAATAATAGCGTCTAACCACAACGAATATAATATTTATATGCGCGTTATAAATGCAATATAATAATATCATATTATTATTATTATTATTATTATTTTATGTATACCGCGTGGACCGACGGGCACGCGACGACCTATAAAATCGACATTCCGTGGCGTGCCAGAGACAAGCGCAGGGAATGCTCACTGCTGTATGGTTATTGTTATTACGAGAGTGTCGAACGTCATTCAATTTAGCACTTACGTAGGTACCGTACGTACTTAGCCTGGCCATAAATATTTTGAAACAGACCTGTAGTCCAAAACACTGTTGTTTTGTCGCGATTGATCCACGCCTGTCCGCTGCCCGGTATGCCCAGTATTCGCGACGATCGACTTTCAAAATCGTAATTTTCCATTATTCAAAACACGTCGTCGGGTAGAAACATTAATTTTGAGATGTTTTTAAATCTCATAACCCAAATAACGCAAATTTTCCAGACCAGGAACAACAAATACCTCCGAAAGAAAGCTGGCGGATTGAATTAGAAATTTTAAGTTTCTGTTGAATTTTTTTTATTTAGTAGGATGCGTATTTCACCTCGTTATTATTGTCTGTTAATTTTATGGAACATAATATGGTTTTAATATTTGCAACTCGACAAAAGATATTATAATATTTTATTCGTATTGTCGTTACACGAATACGTTATCTTCTTATTATACAGAGGGTTTCAGTTTGATGAAATATGATTCAGGAAAATTAGTACTATATGTTAGGGATCCATGATTGTTAAAATGTATAATGTGTTTTGGATTAAATGAACAAAAATTAAAAAAATTAAAAAGGCCGTTGTATGTATTTCTTGAAAATATGGGAGATATGGCTAGCAAATATATATAATTTTATAGGTATACAAATGTTGTAGGTACTAGGTATGTATATAATTAGTTATTTTACACGTACCTATCTATATATTTTAAAAGTTGAATTGCCTATATTTTCATTCAGCATCCAAATACACCCATATGTGTTTAAGTTTAGGTAGGATATGTGGTTGGTGGAACAGGCAAATATTATGTAACAGGTGAGCTGTGGGCGGGTGTGTCTCGTACACAAACACCCTGTATACGTTTTTAACTGCGGCAATAACTTGAAATATCGTCTACTGTTGTACATCTGTACAATTGCTCAACGTGTTCTCTCGATCCCTTTGTACACGCAATAGAGTTAGATAAACGTATCACATATAGGTAGGTACTCGAAAAGTTATCAAATGTATTTTTTTTCGTATGTGTGTGTGTGTGTGTACAGTTGTACAACAATCAAATTTCGATTGTCCACGGACAGGTCTTTGTCCGCAACAGGTCGCACGAATCACGTAATATATAATATATAATAACTTAACCGTTTTCGTTTTTATTTTATTCGCAGGCTCAGTCAAGACTTCGTTGATGTCTGGTTCGTCGTTCAACGTCACGTGGCATCTCGCGTATCCTCACCGGGTAAGTCTAAACTCTGAAATATTCTCTCTATAGCTGAATAGGGCCCGAGATCACGACCTGACGTGTCGACGAAACGTTTGCTGCTACAGCGATCGGCAGCGAAGCGTGTGACCGAAAACTCAGCGATGACAATATCATTATAGCTGCAGGTGGTTGTGCAATCCCGACGAGGATCCCCGGACGACAATATTATTATTAATCGACATCGCGAAATTATTATTATATTACTTGTGATCGTCGTGGTACGCATGACCCACACTCCGTATAATATATTATTATATGATAGTGCAATAATAATATAAATTCGACTCAGTCTCCGTCGGAGCTGCACGATTTTTTGTGTATATACAGGGTGAATGTGGGCGCATTCGAGATTATTAATTAGTCATTTGTGTAAGGGTATAGACTGCACAATAACAAAATATATATTATAATAAAATATCGTTGCGCAATTTTATAGTCGTTCTATACGTACCTACCGGCAGTAAAAACTTCCAAATAAATCGTCAATTGTATTTTTTAAACGATTCTATATTATATATAGTGCCGTGGTATTGTTATACCTATTATATTATATTATATTATATTTGAATTCTTTTGACGTGGTCTTCTTTTGTCACGTATACCTACAATGTTTGTGGCTCACGATTTGACTTCACGAATTTCGATCCATACCAATAATATAATATACGAACTAAAGTGAAAAAATCTTACATTTTATCCCATTTTATTGCATACTGTACTACTCTTATAATTTAGTATAATACAATCTATAAGTATTACTATTAATTTGATTCGTTTAACGCCTTTCTTTCGTATTGTATCATAATATGCTACTTAATATATAGCTTATCATACTACGTCCTTTTTATTATTAATTTCAACACAATCAAAGATTTTGGTCAACAATTAACACAGGACTTGAAACCGATATTGAATACCGGTTAAAACTGTTAAAATCCAAAATGGAAATCGGAAATAATAAAAACCGGTACTCAAAACCAAAAACGAAATCATAAAAAATAATTACCAATATCTGAAACCGAAATCAAAATCGGAAAAAATAAATACCGATATCCTAATTCGAAATAAAAACAGGAAAAAATAAATACCGATATCCCAAACCAAAATCGGAAAATTTTTTTTTCGGTTTCAAGCCCCAAATTAAAACTTCATTTATAATAAAACGAACGCATAAACGTGTCCGGCAGGTGTAATACAAAAAAAACACTCGTGTGGTGAGGTTTTAATCGATATCGTTGTATTAAAATCGAAGTATACAAACGGGATTGCACATGACGTTATATTATACACGCTATAATCAATATAAATCAAAAGTTATAATACAAAAGTAATCGTTTAACACTTCAGGGGGGGGGATGAACCCCCAGAACTCTCGCCCTGTATATGATGTCTCATACCGTATATACAACGGATTCCGCCTAATTTGGGTACCGGTTGACATGTGCATCCGCGTAATATGGGAAAAATGGGCAAAACAGTCTGGTTATTTCCCAATTCCAATGCATAATATACTAACTAACAAAGCTCGGTTTAAATGGTCAACCGCTTAATGTGGGCAAATGAGTTTGGGCCCAACGTGTTCACACATTAAGTGGAATCCACTGTATCTATACATAATACATGTGTTATATAACGCGTCAGGACATGAAATATATGAAAAACGGCCTCTCATCGCGTCCGACTCTTAACGTAGGTACCTACATGTGTAAACTCGTTTGATCTGCGGCAGAAGCTGTTCAAACCAGATCAACAGAATTTCGCGATTAAAAATTTAAAAAAATAAATAGATCCGATATTATTATAAGTGTACCTATATACACGTAACTTTCGCGTGCATTGCCTTGAGTTATTTCTTTAAAATGGCGGCAGTCGCTTAACGGCTTTTAGATATATTCTCCAGTTTTTTATCAACCTCGTACGTTTTTCATTACTTTCTCCAAGAATTCCTGCAGTCGGTACAATCTTTGGTGGAGTTTCGAGAGCACTAGGAATCACTAGAGTGTATAAGGTCACTGACTCGAATCGAAGCGCCACACTTAAACACACATATGCACATATATATAAACCACGTACCTAGGCTTATGCTTGTAAGGTTCGCAAGTGTATATTCCACTTTTACTTGTTGATTGTCCAATTATTTCTATAAATCGCGGATATTCTTTTAATTATTGTAAAGCTGCACCGCGGCGTTTATTTATTGTTAATTGGATCATATTATATACGTGTGCTGCTCTAAACTATATGAGGATTTTCATTGATGTTTTTGTTATTATTTACATAGGGAGGGATTAAACTTCAAGTACTGGACAATTACCAAAGGCCTGTATTGGATTTAACACCAGTCACAAAAGATTCTGATTTCTTGAGGACCGATGCCACGTGAGTACAACTCTATTTATCGAATTAAATAACGCTAAGATAAAATATACTACCGATATTGTTGTTGTTGTTATTATTATTTTTGTCTCGAATCACAATATTGTAAAAATATTTTAACGTAAATGGTTTACATACATTATATTTTTTGTTGGATAAATTACTGTCGATCTTTTTATGATTTAAATAACTAGTTTATTTACTTAGATATAGCTTTCTCGAAATATGCGGTAGTCACTATTATATATAAAAAATATGTGTTATATTAAAATACCGTATTTTTACTTAAAGTCTTGTTGTTTGACCAAATTGTGGTCAAACAATTTTCAAGTTTTCATTTCTTAAGATTATACAACTATAAATAAAATTATAATTGTTAATATTTTTTAAGTAAATGATTAAAAACAATTAAAATTATAATAATTGATTTTTTGGGCTGCCGTGCATTTTGTTTTTTAAAAAAATTGAGGGTACATAAAAACATAAGTTGAAATTGTATATTTGTAATGAAAGTTATAATAATATCATAGTCACTATAAGTAGTTTAATTTCAGTAGCGCAACTCAATACAAGGAGGAGGTATCATAATATATGTGAAACTTTTATGGACTCTTCGTTGAAGAGTGGTCGTGATTTAGTGATACGTATTATTAATTATTAAGGTGATAAAGAAAGTGTTTGTGTTGAGAATCTCGAACATTGAATCAAGCCGCTGATAAATTCATTAGAAAAATAGTATGTAAATTAAATAAATATAAAAATAATTGTGGTCAGTGTTCACTCAGCATAATTATTAATTTTATAGTTTTATATAATTTTTTTTAATTTTCTATTTAGAAAAATACAAATCTCAACTTAAAAATCGACAGAGTAATTATAAATATTTCATGCAGTCTATAGGTAGTCCTATTAAATATTATTAATTTCCGACGTGCAAAATAAAATTATAATTAATTGCTACTTCATATATTATTATAAAATACATAATATTCTAAATAGTGTTTAAAATATTCATAATTACACATGTAAAAGTAGTTGTTGCACAGCTTGTTTAGAAAGTAGACGTTTCACGCCAACGTCGATCTCTGTAGCGGTAGGTATAGGTTGGGCCTGATACTAGAACTTAACAATGATAACGCCAAATAAAACCATTAGATATAGTGAGAATTCAATATTCGTATCCTACGGCGACTTTTTCTTATAAGTTATACCAGGTGATTATTTGACCACACTATATCGTATAGTGGTCGGTAGGTAAATTCAGCTTTAAAATTATTTACTAATTCAAAATTTAAAATAAAAAACTACAACACCTATATACCTAGATACCTAGATACCTATATCATGACGATTTTAACTACTACGTATGATTTCATAGTATTATACAATTATTACAAAAAGAATTCCAAGACATATTGCGTAGTATAATATAATTTTTACAACAATCATTATAATTTTATACAGATGCAAATATATTTCGTTTCCCGATATTGATTTTACGGGTAGGTACGATCGGGCAGTAAATATAATATTATATTTCAAATAATATGGCATTTACTTTTTTTTTCACAATGATATTATGTAGTATAAGTAGGTTCATTTTATTATAAATTTGATACAACATAGTAGGTACTATTCCTACAAAATTATACTTCCGTTATTTTTTAAACTATACTGACCATTAGAATAGATGAATACGCGTCTTTTACTTTTACTTTCAGTCATCATAATATTATTATTCCTTTTTTATTGACAATAAGTTGTTTGTTCGTATTGGGTCATTACATGAATTGAACGATAGTGATGTAAACACTTAACCATAAAATAACTGGCTAGAAATATTGCTTCTTTTATTAATAAATATCAGTATAATATGTACTACTATAGTGCCTATATAGGTCCTAGGTAGATACCTACATTATGCACCATTACTTGCGATTTATCAATTAATTAAATGTATTAATGTATTAATCAGAGTATTCCATTACTTAGGAAATCATTATAAAAAAACTACGTATATTTAAGTATTTGGGAATCAAAAACTAAATTTTATTTATTTACACTATCGTGACTTATAAAAACTTAGTAAGACAAATTAATTATTATTAATATTTAAATACAATAACATTCGTATGTCCCTAATAATAATATAAATTCCACACATTATTATCAAAAAAGTTGTAGGAGTTTAGCTGAAAAGCAACACAATATATATCACACTACTCGATATTTTCCACTTTGAAGAAAATGTATATTAATAAGTTACCATTCGTTGTATTTATACCTAGTAGGAATTAAGTAATTTTTACATTTTCATCGTTTCCATGGTGATAGGCTACACGTTCAGCAAAATCGGTTAGAAAATAAAAATATCTGTACCCAGCCCAAAAATATATTTATTTATGTTAAAAAATTAAATAATGGTAGTTTGTTTATAAATTATAATTATTTTTAAGTGCACAACAATGTAACCAAAGCCTCTATAAGAGTGGGCTGTTGGACATGGAGTACAGGGAATCCGGATTTTTTAAGGACCCGTTGAAATTAATTTGTAATTTTGAAAGAAATACTTATTATTATATTATAAATTGATATGATATATGATATAAATGTATAATATTTAGTAGAAATCGTATATTGGGACAATTATATCGCTTGTAATGAGTTGTATTTTGTTGGAAGTTGTGTATAAGGCCCATAGAACATTTAGTACAGGGGCCCAACATTTGATGTAGGGAGTCTGAATGTATCATATTATATTATAAAGTAACAACATACCTATCATAATATATTATGTGTATAACCAACATAGTACAATTTGAAACTTGTAGATTTTAAGAAAAAAGACCTAAATTCTTCATCAATTTACTTATAAACACGTCACACGTCAGTGATTTCGTTTCATTAGCTATTAATAATTAATGGTGCAGTCCAAAAAAACCTTTAAACAGAACACCAAGAGGCAAGACAATATTATTTTTGATATGCAAAAAATTGTTTATTATATTTGATTTTATTATAAACAATAATATTATATGCATAACAAAAGTAGTTAAGTAGGTAGGTATAATATGCTTTTGTCATATTAAATTCAAAATAACTATCGAACGTACTGAATATATTTTGATTTGATTTCTCTATTATGTTATGTAGTAGTTATCATACCTACTGTTATATTATGTTTATATTGTATTTTTGATATTTAGTTATGATAACACTTATAGGCGATTGGCTAGACTTATGTCACACACAAAGAGAAACAAATTCACCATTTTTCTTACCGAGTCACTATAGTCATATTTTAATCTCGTTGTTGATACATGTTTACGCCTCGACTATTGAAAAAAAAACAAACGAAAATACGTGTAGGTAGGTACACGTTGCATTATCACGTCAACCAATTTTATTATTGATTGACACAAGAATGGATCTTGGCCGAGCGAATTGATGGGCGGAGGGGCACGCGGGCCGAATATATTTTATACAAACACATATATAATAATAATAATAAAACGTACTTTCTTTGATTATACCTATATACTCTCCCGCCATAATAACACGTCGAGTTAAATGCTAGTGAATTTAATTTTCGGTGGGAAAACTGCCGACAGAGAAGGAGAGTTAAACTCCAGCTTGTGAACAGTGCGCCTCGATGGCGGTCAATAATATAATATTATAAGCGTGTGCTTTAACGACGGCCGTTCCCACTGTTCACGATTTCGGACCGAGTTAAAGATGTCAAGGCAAAATCTGCGCAACGATAATATTAAATAATAATAACCTTAACGCTACTCGGCCGTAATGAATGTCTATGGGAATATTTATATATATAAAACGAATAGACTAGCTTATACTTTCGCGTATCAACACGAATGCTATAAAATTACCCTATGTATGCGGTGATGAGAGTACAGAGGTCCAGGAAGTTTGCACAAGACTTCCTATAGTAACATCCCATCAACGAAATTAAGAATCTGTAAATTTATATTTTTTGAAAAATCTTATTTCATTTAGAAATAGGTACTTTTTAACGTTAATCTCCAATCGATCAAACTAAAGTTATCTATTATTACAAACAATCAATCTTCTGCAAATACTAACATTATTATTACTTGTATAATATTATAATATCTACAAATTGTTTTAGCACATGTACTATTTTTCATTCGACCAGGGCTGTGTGATTTGTAAACACACAATTTTTTTTGTTACTTCGTACTAAGAATCCAGTAAAAATAATGTATTTCGCATGCATTATTAATAGCATGCTACCTACTAGATATTTTTCATCTGCCAGGAAAATTGAGGAATCATTGATATATTTTTGGGTATAGCCCAGTGGAAAAATATCTAATAGCATGCTACATTTTCTTAGGATTTTTGTTATTGTTGATTTGTGTTTCTATGACAATAAAATACGAAAATCGGTTAGAAAAAAAAAGTTGAATCCAGCCAAAAAAGATATCTATTTAAATATTTGGTTTATATAATTACTATGCTTGCGCGAAAATATATATTTTAGGGTTTTGTGAGCATATTATTATTAAAATATATGTTTTTATTAAATTTCTTTTCTTCAAATGTCATATTTCACTTATTTTAATAATCTAAAGTTTTAGTTGATTTTTTAACAAATAGTTGACCATAATAGTCACCGGCACTTTTTATTGGTAAGTATTGATAACAATAATAATTTGATTTTCGTTTTTGAAAAAATAATATTTTTATAATGTTGTTGTTGTCGATAGCGCATGTCAAAAAAAAATGATAAAAACTATTACAAAGGTGGCAAGTTAATTTAAGTTACTTGTTATTGATTTTAAAATTAAAAAAAAGCAAAATTGTATTTTAAATAATATTATATACAATTGTATTGGAAATTAAGAATAAGAATAAACGTAATCTTGATAAAGGTTTATTTTACATTTTATTCATCATTATTATTATTATTTTATAATACATATTATTTAAAAAAATTGATGCCAATTATAAGTCATCACTAC